GTCACTGGTGAGACAGATGTCTGGGTTTCCCTCCTGCACACGCTTCCCTATCAGTAGAGGAGTAAAGAACAGCGGGTAGATGGATGGATGACCAGAGCTGATTGGCTCTCCGATGGTTACTGTGATGTTTGCTCTGCAGAATGACGACAAAGAAAGCGCTGACCTCGGCTACATGACTTCAGAGAAGGCCTACAGGATCGTCTTAGCCGGAGACGTGGCTGTGGGAAAATCTAGCTTCCTGCTTCGCCTCTGCAAGAACGAGTTTAAACTGAACTCCAGCACCACTCTGGGTGAGCTGGAGAAACTAAAACCTGCTCTGGGCGCTGAGAAGTATTGTATTAGAACCAGGACACCTTGATTTTAAGTTAGTTTTTGTTTTCTGTGGTCTCAGGCGTGGACTTTCAGATGAAGACACTCATTGTGGATGGAGAGCCAGTTTTATTACAATTATGGGACACTGCAGGGCAGGAGAGGTGAGTGAAAAGAAAGACACATTATACTGTCGGTGAAAAAGTTTTGTTTTCTTATGTTTTTGTGAACCTCATCTCTTCTGCTGCTGCCGTCCTCACAGGTTTCGCAGTATCGCCAAGTCCTACTTCAGGCGTGCAGATGGTGTGTTACTGTTGTACGACGTCAACTGTGAGAAAACCTTCCTGAATGTTAGAGACTGGGTGGACATGATTGAGGTAACACACTGGTTTGCTTCGCTGCTGTTTCCAGACATTTTCACATTGAGCCAACTCACAAAACTTGTTTAATCCTGCAGCTGATGTGTGCAATAAGTTCATTTAAATGTAAAACTAAGTGGTCCTACATGTTTCTCTCTTCCTATTTGCAGCTGATGTGTAAGTTTTTGATGGACGGCATGTATTTGGTGTGCTTTGCTGTCCTGTGAACTTTGAGTTTTGCATGCTGGTCTTTGCTTGTGGAGTGATGTCGGTGAAAAGAAAATAGAAATATGTCCATTCAGTGTTGCACTGTGTTGAAATCTTAACAAGCCTACTACACCTTTTCTAAATTTTCATGATCTGCACCATGACATCAATTGTTATTTCTTTCCCAGGATGTGTCCCATGATGATATTCCCATCATGCTTGTGGGTAACAAGTGCGATCTTCGGCAAGATGGAGATAAATCTGTTCCTACCAGCTACGGGCAAAAGCTTGCAATGGTAGATACAAACAAAAGTATTTTATTACACTTAGCTCGTGACAAATCTCAATGAACCAGGTTTTACTTTATTTTTGAATCCATTCATTTATTTGTCTGTTGATACAATTGTATTTATCACAATATGCATGTATTACAGTTAAGCCCAAAACTATTTAATCTAAAGATTAGGGTGATGGCAAAGGGGTCTTCCGACCTCAAAAACTTGGAGCCTTTTACCTGAGACAAATCATCAAGATACCAGTGGAAATGTGCAGAAAGTTGATGCAGAAACCTTTCTGTTAGGTTTTTTCATTTAGGTACAGATAAACATGTCAGGAATAATGCTTTATGGGATGGTAACGAGTTATCTAATTAATACAATCTTTTTATAATCTATATTCAAATCCTTTTTGTCTATTTAATGTTCAGACTGGAAGTAAATAGAAACAAATACTTCATAATAAATCATAACATTGTATTTCTGCCTCCGTCCACCAGACATACAACACTCTGTTCTGTGAAACCAGCGCCAAAGACGGCTCCAACATCCTGGAGGCCGTGCTGCACCTGGCCAGGTGAGGCGCTGCCTGTTTCTTATCCAGGTTTATTTTAATTCATTTATGTCCTCCCTAATCCATAAATGTTTTGAAGGCTTAAAACTTAAAATGCAACAGATTGCTGTTAATTGAATGACTCAACAATGTCACTAGAGGCTCTTTTGCATGTGGAAACTTGTAAATGTATTTTTTATTTATTTATTTTTGCATCTGGCAGGTTGGTAATAAAGCAGGACACCTTTGAGGAGAAACGCTATCAGTCGCTGACCAGTTTAAATGCTCCCAAGAATAAACCAAAGCTCTCCTGCTGCACCTGATCCAATGCTCCAGAGCTGCACCTCCTCATCTGCCTTAACGTGGAGGATACAAGGAGCAGAAATTTAACAAAACAGCAACACATAAATAATTGTTGGGGGGAAAAAAAATCAACAACCAGAACTGTTTTATTTATAAACAAAGTGGCAAAAAGAAGAGAGATAAGATCCAGCCGCTTCAGGAAGTTTGAGTTATTGCCGACTTTTTCTCTCTGACTGATAATTTCATTGTTTTTTGTGCTGTTATCGATACTTTACAGGACGTATTTATGAATTGTTTGCCATTCAAACATTTTTCTTAGAGAAAAAATGAATCATAATACTAAAACTGGGAAAGTAAAGTTAAAGGGAGTGAATATAATGAAGTGATGTGAAAATAACATAAGAGGTGCAATCGGTCGGTTTATGTGTCGCATTTGTACTGGTGGAAAAAGATACGAAGAGTATTGATGATGAGAATTGAGGTATATTTAAGCAGTAAATGTCCATGATGGTTTCAGGTGCAATGTCCCAACCCACTTTCTAAACAATACCAAGCAGTGTTACATTTTTGTTGTTATAAAGTTTCTACTTGTTTATTTCAGCTCACAAATGCTATTAAGTTCAAGATGTTCTCTAAATAATAAATAAATAAGAGAGTAGAACAGTGTATAGACTGTTATTTTTAAGAACAATTTTAATGCAATAAAGGAATTATTGCATTATTTCGGTTTTCTATGCCAAAAAGGCAACAAAGGTGGGATTTTGAGTAAAGAGCCTGTGAGTGTGAAATATCTAAAACACAAATAGCCTCAAGATGGGGGGCTTTTTTTTTTTTTTTAAAGCTGTTACAATTTTACATTTATTTAATGATTAAATAATAGATTATAAATTAAACAGAAACACTAAACTGTCAGTGTTGTCTGGACTGGAGGGTCTGAATAGTGACCAGCAAAGAGAAATGAGGCTGAAAGAGTTTTGGAGAAAAGAAATCCAAGCCCAGCTTACGAAACCCAAATATGTGAAGAAAATTGAAAAATATACAACCAAGAACTGGAGACAACAAAACATAAAAACAAGATCAAGATTTTAAAAAAAGAAGAAGATAAAAACAACAAAAAAGAATAAGCCAGAATGACTAATACAGTATATATGACAAAGTATGTTTGATAATTAACTAAGTGGAAACCAGAAGGCTGAGAATCTAATTAGGGAGAGAATCTAATTAGAGAAATGGCTGGAAGTACAGAAAACTGAGCAATCACAGTAACAGATCTGTCACAAACAGAAACACAAAATCACTCAAATGATTCAAATAAAAATATACATACAGTGGATACCCACCTTTTCACTGTTCAGTATTTCAAAATTCACCTATTCATGGATTTTTCAGTGGAACGTAACTTCAAATAGAGCATATTTAAATTATTCAACAACAAAAAAGTGCTGCTGGAAAGCTGAAACTCTTGGGAGCAATGCTACTTCACACAATGTCAGGGTTTGCAAACCAGTCAATCCTGACGTGTCGTTCATTTTCCTTGGCACTGATTGGCTGTACCTCTAAGAACTTAATTAAGGAAGACTGTAGATGTTAACTTATGCGGTACAGCCGATTCTCACTGTGCCCTTATTAGGGTATATTTGAACTATTAAAACAGGCAGTTAGAGAAGCATTTTCAATGGGGTCTCATGTATTTGCATATTTTAGCTATTCATGAGTTGCTGTGGTCTTTAACCCCCATTAATAGTTTTGGTTCGCTCTATTATATATTTTGTTCATACAAACAATATATTTACATCTAGAGCAAAATCCCTTTCTCCTTTGACAGGATGTAGAAATAGGCAAACAATAACTTTTACAGTTGACAACAGACTGGACTGGAGGCTCAATAGTGAGGCTGATTACAAAATGGGAAAAAGCAGCAAACTTACTGAGAAAGTGAAGATGTAAAAGGTCGATTCTGTTCTGGGGATTACTCTGGGACCTCTGGAGAATATTGTACAAAGAGGGATTTTTCATAAAACGAAGAACATTAAGGACAACCCTGAGCATCCTTCTCATCAGCCTGTCCCACACAACAGAGCGTCTTCAGTCAGAGGCCTCTTCAGAACCGCTGTAATACTGACCACATCAGGAGATCTTCCTTTCCCACAGCCATCAACAACTCCTTGAAGAACCTCTTATTTTATTTGAGATGAATTGAATTTGAATCATTATTTGTCCTCTGTGTGCACACTTTCAGACAGTAAAGAATTTATTTTAAAACTTACAGTAAAGACATCAGTGTTTACATGTAATTTATTAGAGCTAATACAAGTGTTTTTATCTTCTGACAGAAGGAGATTTTATTAAATCGGGGACTTTCTTCTCGGGAGACACTTTGAGACACCCTCCTGTTAGCGGTGCATCTGGAGGTCGCTCTAAGCACAGTTGTTTGAAAAACTACAACATATGTTGGGGATTCTGCACTTTGTGTGTTGGAGTTGGCACAGATCCCTGTCTACACCTCCCATCTGTTTACATTGTCAGGTGCTTGATGAGGCGAGACCGCTCATTTGTCAAACAACATGTGGGGTAACAGAAGTGGAGACGGGGTGTGTGTGTGTGTGTGTGTGCATGCGTGTGTGTGTGGAGTAAGCAGCAGATAATGATTTTTTTGTGTGCGTGCGTGCATGTGTGTGTGTGTTCAGTGGTAATAAGGGGATAATTAGATAAGGGGGACCGTGCAGCCAAAAAGGTTAATGACACTAATGAATATATTAGTGAAGAGGAGAGCAGGTTCTCTTTCCTGATGTGCATCTGCTCTCAATCCTTCTGGGGAATCCTGTGTGTGTTTTGTTTTAGTTATTCTAGACAAATGTATGAGGTACAAAATAAAGAATCAAAATGTTTGGGAGACAACTGGCTTTACTTTTATTTACTTTATTTATGTGCATTTAATTACGTACAGTTCTATGGAATAGATTTAAACCAGCAGTGAAAATAATAAGTATTAATCAAAGGCATACAAAAAGATTTAAAGACAATCTGGTCCTTTAAAGTATAAAATTATATCTATGATGTTTTAGGACCTAATTGGAGAAAATATTGCACCATTTCTCTCTTTTACATTAGAGTGTGAAGAGAGATTTAATTAATTCAAATCTTTTTCCTCCCAAGTTTGGGCCGCATCAGAAAACACACACAGACATTAGAGAGGGCGGGCGCTCTCCGAGTGCACGAGGGGAGAAGTGTTGTCACAATCTGGGAAGGTCAAGGGTCAGGACAACAGGTCCGGTTCTGATGACATCTGGGACAGCATACTGTCCGTCGAAATCGACGCCCATGTCAGACACGCGCCACTTTCATGACACACATAGGGACATGCTGCCATCTGCTTCGCAGTAGAGATGTTGGTCAGACTGTCGTCTTTTATTAAAATCTCTAAATATGTCCGCCAGCGTGGTTGATGGTGCAGTAGCGGTAATGTGTGTTATTTTTACAACTCCCACAGGAGCAACAATTCATTAGAAATCTGTAACAATAAGTACAAGAATTTAATATTAATGGACATTTGATACATTTTCTTATAAAACTTTAATATGTGATTAGAAACAAGTTGTTTCTTAGTGACAAGTCTTAATGAGATCGTGTAAATCCAGTTGGCATTTAACCTCCTTACTGTGCTATGCCACTTCTGTTGGCAAGAGGGCAGCAGTCTGCTATCGTACAATATTTAGAAGCATTGTGCATGGAGGATTTTTTTTTGTCTTGTTTTGTGAGCCACACTTGAAACCACTACAGTCCCTTAACTGTTTTCACATTTTGTTACAATCTGTAAAGGATTATATTAGGATTTTATGTGCTGGACCAACATTAAGGAGCATAATTCTGTAATAAAAGTAAAATTAGTGCATGATCTTAAAATGTTTTATAAAACGTGGCATCCATTTGTGTGCTGCAATTACAAATGCAAGTCTTTTGGCATATGCCAAAAAACCTTCAAAGCATCTAGATGTTCTAAATGGTTTAAACATCTAGAGATGAGTGGTTTTGCACATTATTTGAAAAAATATTTTAGTCACATTGAATAGATCACAGCAGCAGTTTTCAAGTCTGGAAGAAGGGTGGCAATTGAGTTTAGATCTGGACTTTGACTAGGTCATTTTAAGCTTGATCTGAACTGTTCCATTGTTGCTCTCGCCGGACGTTTGCGGCTTGTTGAAACATCTCTGAAGACTGTTTAAAATTTCAAACATCTTCCCATCAACTCTGACCGCCCTCTATGTCCCTGATAAAGAAATTTATTCCCACAGTATGATGCGCAAATATTTCTTTTTTACCAAATAAAATAATTTAAAGTTGTGTATCTTTTTCCTTCCTCCTAACACCAATAAAATGCAGTGTGAGAAAAGAATGCGAATACTTTTGCAAAACAGTGTGCATCTCACAATATAAAACACTTTTTTTCTCTTTTGTCTTGAAAAGTTACCTTTTTCCCCCCATAAAAACCTGACAAAAAGCTGGACTAGGTTTAATGCATTTCCTGAAAGGAAGACTTTGTGTTCAGGTGACAGAGGAGTCCGAGTTCATTCAGAAATACACAAGATGATATATGTAATTGTTCTAATTAAAAGTGTCCTGAAGACAGCTCAGCTTGTCCCTAAAGATGTCTCTTAGACTCAGTTTAAGTTTACTGGGAAACTCTGGTGTTTGTGTAACGTGGGCTCAGGTCCAATGAGAGGGAATCTCCTGGTCTGTGCTTATCTCTGTGACCGCTCAATCAGCTCCCCAGAAGGACGAGCGTGGATTAGTGACCGTTTCATAATGTGTGTTAATCTGGCAGGTTAGTTTCATTAGGTTAGTTCATAATTCTCACTTTATATGTTGGGTAGTATGAGTCAAACTGATACGCCACTCAGTGCTATGGAATGTCTTTCCTGCTGAAATTCGGAGTCGTTTTCTACATAGATCCTCCCTGCAGTCTGAACATAATTCACTCTTTATGTCAACAATCAAAACAGCCAAATTTACTGGAGTTTCAGGAGACCCTAAAGCAGGTAAAACTGGACTATTTTTGCATTACAGCATAAAAAAAAACCTGACAGTCGAAGTTTCTATTAAGTGATCAGTGATCAGTTTAATTTCGTTGTCTTTGTGTGTGTTTTTCTGAATCCGCTGACATATTGATCCACACAATATTGAGATCTGTTCTAACGTTGCAGAATATCGACAGAGGTAATCTCAGACAAGAGCAATCAATATTGACGTGTTGCTCAAACAGATAGAAACCCATCATGTAAATCTTTGATCTCCACTGTGAGCTGCAAACAAATCAAATGCGTTTTCTTGGGGCAGAGAAACACGAGGGTTTTGTTTATGGTGAAGCCTTTCCAAATATGGTCATAGCTAAGCAAAGACGGAAACTTACCAAAAATAATTTGGTTGCCATTAGACTTACCTGAGTCAAAGGTAATTTTGCTGTTTTGGCCCAACCAGAGTCCATACTTAAAGCTGATGGGGAACGTGTGAAGGAAGCATGGCATTAGGGTGATGGTACAGAGTGTTTCCAACCTCAACGACTTGGAGCTTATCACCAAAGATAAATCATCAAAATACCAGAGAAAACGTCCAGAAAACTTCTCGGCAAAACATGTTCCTTTTCCTGTCATTCCAAACAAGGTTTGTTAGCAATTGAGAAGGATAACAAAATGTACATAATTTTTTTTTTTGGTTGGATGAA